CTTCGTAGATCGTAGAGTGAGTAGAGAGCACTTCCAAGCTCTCTTGGATGCCTCCCTCCCCGTCCCGTTCCAGCGGACACTCGTGTTGCGTCGACGTTGCTTTCTCTGCGTACTTGTGCGGAGCGAGCGTTGCTCCGAGGGAGGGAGGGAGGGATGACTCGCTCGGTCCGCCACGAGCCGCCTCATCGTACGGACGAGTGGGTGGAGGCGGGCGCGCACCACCACCATGAAATCTATCCGCGGGGCCGCCGTGGCCGCACGTCGCCCCGCCGCGGGGACCGCACTAATTGCTCGGTGGGCCCACCCCGACGACGTCGAGGAGGAGGAGGAGCAGAAACGGGGCCCATCCGCATGTGCCACATGCCGTGACCCGACTGGGCCACCACCCCCCGAGGGACACGTTTCGCTTTCTCACCCGTCAACCCTCCCCCCGCCTCCCTCATCCCCTCCAAGGCCCTGCCGCAAGAACCCCACGGACCGGGGGCCGTGGCTGGTCTCGGACTCCGACACGCGTCGCCTCGAAAACACGAAACCCGGAGGCTGTTGCGGGGGATCCCGAAACGGCGGGGGCGGGACAAGGGAAGGGGGACCGAGCGGTTGGAAGGGGCGGTAGAACCGAAGAGGATTCGGTGGGCGAGGAGAGGAGGGGGCGGGGCCCGCGCAATAGGACGCGCTCGTCACCATCCAGTGACGGCGGGTCCCACCGCGGCGGAGGAAAAGGTCAAGGCCGCAGCCAATCGAGGCGCGGGTCGCCTTCCCCACTCGGAACCCCGTCGCTGTCGGTGGGCTTCGCTTCTATTCCCACTCTCAATCATTATGTTAGCAATTAATAACCATATCGCCATCCATCTTATCTTATCTCGTCTTGCTTGCGGGAATCTTAAAGAAATAGTAGTTAATGGTTTGGTTACAGGACGAGTTTTGAGAGGAGGGAGTGCTGAGGCTGTGCCCACTTTGGTCTCGAGTCGATAAGACAATGCATCATTAGTCACAGAGGAGGAGAGAAATAGGATGGATAATGAGTCCGTGTTATGGACCGCAATCATATCTGGACAGTGGAAAGCACTCGAAAGTTGTGGCAGGCAGAGAAACCTTGTTTGTGTAGTTCAACAGTGACAACGAATACACGAGAGTAGTAGCTTGGATATTATATGCTGCTGTGTCGGCTAATGCATCATCGTTCTCTGTCGTTGGGTAAGAAGAGATGGAGTGGAGGGACTGTGTTATGTTTCAAGCATATATAATTCGTCTTTGGATTCGAACAACAAAAAAGAGGAGCTTCATTGATGCGATCATGCATTATAGGATTTGTTACTTGGTCGAATCCAATTAGAATATTAGGTAATGGATGGAGTATGTTGATACGTCTACAATAAACAGGCAAGTTCTCGAGGTCTTCAAGCCTTAGAATTTAGTCTGAACTATACGCATTATTAGGTAGAGGAGGAGGAGGAGAAGAAGAAGATTAAACGCATGATGTATGCATGCGTTGCTTCTCATGAACATAAAAAATAGCTTTGGAGATTACTTAGGAAAAGACCGGATTGAAGACTGGAGATGGTGACACAGAGAGAGAGAGAGAGAGAGAGATAGAGAGAGCAAAGCGACAGGGAATCCGGCATGAACGATCAGTGGGTGGCACAACGCCCTGGAGTCTAAAGGCAAGCAATGTAGCGTCTTCTACATCAGAGTTTGGACCACACACAGCGGCATTGTAAGAGGAGGACAAATGCTGCTGGTGTCCTTATCATGGACATGGAAAAAGAGGAAGAGGAGGAGGAGGAGGCCCTTTTCATAGAGGTTTGCCCTAACTACTACTGGAGGGAATCTGAACTACAGATGAATCATTGGAGTCATGTGTTCTCAAATGAAATGACACTTGGAATTTGTCATCCTCTCTCTCTCTCTCTCTCTTTTTTTACCCATGAGTTGATGGACTTGGATCACTTAATCAAATCTTTCGGATCATGTTATTGCTTTGTCAGTCAATTCATTGAGTGAACTCTTTGATATCATATATAACTGATTAGGGGATGATAAAACGCGAACACGCTTACATATCGATATCGACACATAGACAATTCGACATGTAAATCGAGGAACCATGGCATCAACATTTTCATACGATAATCATAATATTCGATCGCTCGACTAAAATATGATCGACGATTCCATACAATCATTTCGTAGATTAATAACTCTAGCATTCACTTGAGCTTTCTATAAAAATACGCGGTAACCTTCATTGACTTAAGTATCAAATTGATCTTCGTCAAACATGTTCCGATACAAGTGTTACAGGAACACCTATCACCTGACACTAGCAAGGCCTAGATTAACTCCGAACCAATTATATATCCAACAACTAGAATCGAAGCAGCTGCACAAGCACTTTGACAGCCATGTTTGAACCTTGTTCTGATCATTGGTTTAGGAGGAGGAGGAGGAGAGGAACACCTTTTGGACAGTTGCAGTCGTCTGCTATAGTTAAAGGAGAGAAATTCTTTCACCGGTAATCTCTTTTGCTGTGGAAAGTGATGCTTAGGATTTGGACAAAGACACATCGACCCTCCTACACCGTGTTTCATGGCCTTGGCACCCTTTCACTCGATATCCAACCTTTGACATCAACCTCTTTGCTCTTCCAAAACCCTCTCCGCGATGTCATTCAAAAGGCATCAAAACAGCAGCTATCCAACATCACCTTATATAACTTTCTATATGGAACGAAATCAACATCAACATATGCGTCATGCCGTGCGTCATCGTCGACGACGATCAGAATCTATTCGATGGTTCACTATATTATGAACCGAGAACAATTTCGTTTCATTAGCTTCTCGAATTTCCGTGTTCTTGATGTGAAGTACTATCATGCTGCAGCTCAATCATTCGTGACTTAAAAGCATGAGATGAAGGTTAAATTATTGGACACAGCTCGCTGATAACTCTTAAAAGAGAAGACGTGACCTCAAAGGCTCCTGCGCCACCACAATAATATTTCAAGGACCTACGAACAACTAGGGTTCAGCTGGCCTAATCCTTGTGGGGACGCTTCGTGGTTGGGACGACCCCTCCTACATCAAAGGGACACTGGTAGTCAATCTGTTGTCGAGTTGGGGGGTCTTTATTTGACATCACACTTCTTCTTCTTCATGCCTTTCTTGTCGGATTTTACTTACGGTTCCACATTTTACTTAGTTCATTGCATGTCCATCAAGTTTCCCTTTCGATCATCATATATCGTGAATAACAAAGTTTCAATTAAAATAATTTTTTTAGGGGAACCAATGAAACGACATCAATTCAATCGTCCAGAGATTAAGAATTCTCATTATTTCTTAGATTCATGAATCAAATTTTGCGCTCATATTTTGCGCCCATCGTATCGTTGTATAGTGACACGCAAGCATCTAAAAACTGTAAATAAATTAAACCACAAGTGATTAGATATATCGAAACGTTAATTATTTTGATTCATTAATATATGGATTGCTTTCTGTACCTCTGTGTGTGTAACAAAATAACTGATGGCCCAAATCTGAAATGTTGGGTTCGGACCCAAATAGGATCATTGGGCCGTGATAGAATTCAAGCCCATTATTGGCCATTAGATCTTCTCCTGATCACAAAGATGATGAGGTGAAAAAGAAGATACGACTTGTAATCGAAAAGTCACAGCAGTACTAAATAATCTATCCGAGTCGCATCACGGCTTCATGTGAATTAAACCATCGTTTTGAGGTCGTTCATCAAAACAATGACCTAACTAAAAATATGAGTTAATGAAGTTGAGCTCAGATGCGACTTGGACTGTGGGGGATCTGTGAATTAGCCGCACGAGACAAGAGGACATGTGGTACCTGTACCTCCTCTCCATGTCCAATGAGGAGTGACGTCATGGATCATGGTTATATGCACCACCCGATGACCTCATCCGTGCATGTATACATGTCGATCCATGGTTCTGCCCGTCCACCGCTGCAACCCACCCCATTCGACACCGCGTCGGCCCCACCACACCCCGTCAACTAACCCAGGATTAGTGACATAGCAACCCACACCGTTTTGTCCGCCTTATATACCAGTCTTCTTTTATCTACATTGGCTTCTTCCTCACGCCCTCACTTTCTTACATGTGAACAACATGGCCTTTTCGCGGAAGAAGCTTTCCGTGAGTCGTCGGCCCTCTTCCTCTGCATCCCAGTAGCCACACCCGTGTACATGGATCCCTCGGAGCCCCGGCCGTCGCCGCGACGGGAGCTGCAAGGCCCCAGGCCCACGCCACTCAAGGTCTCCAAGGAATCCTACAAGATCAAGAAGCCTCCGGCGCCCTCCCACCCGGTGGCGCCACCACCCCAGCCGCCGCAGCCGACGCAAGCCCTCCGCCCCCCGGTCGTCATCTACGCGATCTCTCCCAAGATCATCCACGTGGAGCCCGGCGAGTTCATGACTCTCGTCCAGCGGCTCACGGGCCCGGATTCCTCTGCTGCCGACTTGTCCCTCCCTTCGCCCACCGGCGCACTCTCGCCCGCCGCCCGCATCGCCACGTTCGAGAGTTCCGCGCCGCCGCGTGCGGGCGACCGAGCGCGAGGATACGACACGGATCCGGCGGAGATGGAGGGATGGCCGACGGTGGACCGGACCGCTTCGTTCCCGGGGATCTTGTCGCCCGTGCCGTGGGCGCTGCCCCCCATATCGCCGAAGCTCTTCTCGCCGTCGTTCGACCCAAGCGTGTTCAGCATCCTGCAGGAACTGAGCCCAGTTTTCGGCGGCCGAGGGGGCACCTTCTTGGGAAGTCCCAGTAACAGTTTCCTGTCGACTCCACTTGTTCCTTCCCCGGGAGCTTGCTGGGATCTCCTAAGCCAACTCCCAGATTTCTAGATCAGGGAGGAGAGAAGAAGAGAGAGAGCAAAAGAGAGAGGTCTCTTTTCCCCTTAACTTGTGTGCCTGTAACATCAAAGATGAAGCAATGGGGGTCATCAATGGCGAAAGGCGCAAGACACAAGAGGGTTTCTATTGTGGTGGGCCATAAAACAACTACTCCTTCTACCACTATAACCCCAGCTTTTGTTTCGCTCCTACTAGTGAAGCACAGTATCAACTTCTGACATAGTTGGATTTCCTGCCCCAATTTGAAGAGATTTAGATGGGTGGTGATCGCTGCAAGCACCGTGATGACAACTAGCATCCGCTTCTGAGTTCTTTTCTTTTGGTGCCGGTCATTCCGTCAAACACCATGATCTGCCACTCTCCGCCGAAATGCACCTGCAAGTTCACACACATTTGCGGCTCAAGAATTGTGAGCACTCAGAAGCTTATGAAGATTGCAGATGTGACCCGCAAACGAGTCCTCACCATTTGAGTTGGCTAAATGAATCTTCTTCTTTTATTTCTTTTGCACAACTAAGCTTCTTTCTGTCATTCGATATCTTCAGATCTCCTTCTCCATTTTTTGCGAAACAGATGTAACCTTAACCAACATAAATTTGTTAGTCTTCTATATATGAATATGAAGATGCATGTGTAAGACAAGGAAAGGAAATGCTGACTATGAAATGGTATATAATATGCCAATATTCTAATGTATCGTCAAAAATTAACATTTCTTCTTGTTCTTCTCTGAAAACTTACATCTTATGATGGCCAAAATGTGAGATACATATCACATCAGATCAAGATGCGGAAATTTCCAAGAGCAAAGAAAGCTCTAACAGCAAACATAACATGCTTGAGGAGAGTACAAACTCTTACCAAGAATGATTCTAGAAGTGAAGCTTTCAGCATGCCTGCTCCCAACCGATACAGAAGAGATATGACCTTCTTAGTCAACAAAGTTACAGTGATCGATTGTCTTTTGTGAATAATCATGCAATAATCAAGTGACCAATGAGTTGAAGAATCATGTTCAGTTTCCCTGATACTGAAAGAATGAGATTTTACTGCAAGCACTAAGTCCTGCAAACTTAGCTCAATGGTGGCATTATCTTTCTGGAAGACAGTATGAAAGGAAGACGAGCAGCTCAGCTACATCAAGTGCAACTTTCAACCCAACACACTTTCCAATGATTATTCAATGGAGATAATAAACTATCCAAGATCATAAACAATGTATAAATCACTGACAAGAAAGCAACTTGCAATCTGGATAGCAAATTCTAGATCATGGAGGCACGTGCTATCTCCAGTGAAGAACTTGGAATGCCTCAAACACATGCAATAGATGCCCAGTGTTTTACCTGTGGGCTGGCCATCCTCATCATTCAAGCTTAAGTCCTCATTCGTATATAAATTCCTGATAATTTACTACAGAATCATCCTTATATATGAAACAACATAATGGACATCAAAGAAGACATGAGATCTCACTACCTATAAAATTCTATTTGGCCTTTCCTAGACACTTCTGTGCTCCGATGTCAAAAATTTTCAACTAAATTTCTCTGTTTCAGGAAAAAGTGTTCTTGGCTGTTGAAGAATCTACATAAGCCCTAATATTTTCTATCATATGCATCAAATAAGATAATTTCACCATCATGTAAACTCAGCATGTTCAATAATAATGCAATCAAAGCGTGGAACCAGTGACCATTTATGAAGCCCTTCATGCCATTGTAAGGAATAGAAGCATAAGGATGTTTACAAGACCCCAACGGTGGACATGAAGTCTCCGTCCTTGAAGATTCAACTAGTCAGGCAAAATGAAGAAATGATGATCCATGATAGAAACACCACAACAGTAATAACCACAAGCATAATTAAATTAAGATTGAAGAAATTAGAAGTTGCAGGCACAAGCACAATACTGTTCACAAATTATCGATTCAAAGAAGTGCCACCAGCTTTCTAATCACTTCATATTCGAATGTAATTTACATGAGGCTCGCGATCGGATCCCTCATAATTCCAAGTATTGCAAGCCGTAGAAACAATCACATAGATAGGAGCAAAACAATAGTATGGTAAAGCTATTCTCAATATATCAGACCCCAATGCTAGTTAGTGGGCAGTAACTCATCCCTCAAATTTCCAAAATATTTGCAAGTAGAGAAATTAAAGATAGTGGCAGCCATTTCTTGATCATCTGTGTCTAAAACATTGGTCCAAAATATTTAAATTAAGATTAATAGTAATTCACTCATCAGAATCTTAAAAAGACAATTCACATCTTTATCCTATTTCGATCTAGGACTTAACTTAAGGTGTTACAATTTCACCCACTTAAAGGTTCAATGTACTTATCAAGGACTAATATAACTCAGAATTAAACTCTAGCATGATACATATGAGTTCTAACCTAGTGATGACTTCATGCCATCCACCGGTAGCTCTTTGTAACTCATTTCACTCATCACTTTCAATACTAGGCTAGTCTTGATACCATTTATCATGGTTTGACTTGATAAGATAATTAATCCATTAACCGATGACCCTAAACTACTCCACCAAAATGCTTAAACCTGTATTAATAGTAGGTAAACCATCCTTGTACGCTAATCCAAGTCTTTACCCAAGTAGGACTGAACTTTGAGGGTGTTCCAACACATCTGCACTAAGGATAAAACAGACTTCAAAAATACCAAGTGATCTCCTTAATGTTCCATCAATTTGCACAGTGAAATTCCCAAAAAGTCTAAACTACACACACACATTAGGAGACATATATTTTGTCAGGCCACTCTGCGGTTGCAGGGACTTTGATGAGCCATACAACAAACACCACAACTGCACAAGTTCTCTATCACAATTCTCCCATCAATTAACATCTGATTCTGACTCATTGAACCCAAGTGCCTATCACAAAATCTCCATCAACCCAAATGCCTATAATTTGCAATCCATGTATTCAATGGGGTAATGTTAACTAATTGGTTTATCTCCGCACGAGCAAGCAAGAAAGAACCCTAAATCGTCCGCAATGATTCCCTCTACGGAACGGGGATGATGAACGAAACCCAACCTATGACTACCCGGAAGAATCCCGAGCCACCGAATAATTCCCGGAGGGCACAGCATTCCTGAGCACCAGCTGTTGTCACCTCCCTTGCGGGAGGGATACAACCGAAAGAAGAACAAGAAGCTCGAAAAGGTAGATGCTGAACGCACCTGAGCTCACTAGGGTTCGTACTCTCAGATCCCAAACGCCCGTCTCCGCCATCGGAGGCCCGTCCTTTAGCGAATCCGCGATCGTTGAAATCCTCACCGCCGGTGGAGAGTGGGATCAGCAACCTGATTGATTGATGGACCGATTCGTCTTTTGGGTTGTGGAGAGCGTGAGGTTCGGCAGTTGAGCTAACACAGTTCTGCGATCACCAAAATGTCATATTTACCCCTATGATTAGTATATCATATATATGTCCCCTTAAATATTAAGACTGTTAGCATCATCTAATAACTCGGATTAAGCAAATACCACTTATAATTATTATTTTTTAAAAATAATAATATTGATGATGAATCTTTAAAGAATCACTTACCCATCCATCATATATCATTAAGTTCGGAATCTATCGCTTCCGTGACCATTTCCTTCGCTCTAAGTGCCCATGTCATTTTCGTTCTATCGTGACTATCACACTACGAGGAACCAATGCCTCTTATATAATGCCTTGAGCCTATAGAGGCCACCATAGTGGAGAATGTGGTAGAGCGATCAGGAGTGGAGGGTATTGTAATTGTCATCATCATCGTAATCCTTAGCGCTAATATCATTGTACTTGTCATAACCATATGAATATCGTAAGATGGCTAAGGTTTGATCGAGATGAGAAGGAGCAAAACAAGAAAGGATAAATTAGACCTCACAACGAGGTTAGAGGTAAAGGCACAACCGGTAAAAGCATCAAGGTCAAAACAATTGAGTGGAGGTAAATCATGAGAGAAGTGGTGATTAACAACAAGTATAATCTAATAAAAAATAATTTTCTCATAGAAATTATCCCATAATATATTATATAAAAAATATAATTTGTTTGTAGGAATATTTTAAATAAAGGCAAATGGATCATGTCCAAATCCTATAATAAAATCATATGACTTGCTTTTGGACATAATAAATCAATTCAATTCTATCCAAAGGTACTCAACTCCACCATTCATCGTTGTGAAGAAGAATGAAGGGTTCAGACCTCTCCTTCTTGTGGTAGAAGTCAGGAAACATATCCTCCTCTGCATTCGTACGCCAAGTGATGCAGATAGTGTCAGTACATCACATGGTTGTGCTCATGGAGAGGAAGCATTCAGTGATACGTCTCGACACTTGACCGATGTCAGCATCAACTTCTACCATTACTGGCAAAGCTCACAATAAATGCATGGGTGCAAGATTTAACCTAACATGGAGCACCAGCACACCATCAACTCGAAAACACACGCGACAGTCGACGCACATCTCAATATGTAACATTGACCGATATGTTTCTGTCAATCAAAGTTAAGACCAATAAGTTTTCTCCACCATTCATGCATTAAGCAAAGATTGTATACTTACTGCAATAGCCGTCGCTGGCAACAATGGCAAAGCATGCAGTTGCGAACCGTGTAGGTTTCTACGTGCAACTCCTGCCATGCACTTGCTGTGGAATCTGTCTGTGGAACACCTCGGTCTACTCTTAATGACCGTGAATCCATTAAACCTATGACTCAAAGCACAAGCATGCTCAGATGGCCATAGTCAAATCCATCTCCTTCCATTCTAAAAGCTGGCAAGATTGATGATATATATTATTTGTTGTCTACTTCCATGTAGTGGTTTTTCCACCACTTAACATAACATCAAATCCCAGCATAAGCAATGGAATTCAATTCCATCTACAACATTGTAAAACAATCTCCTCTTTACACATATTCCTTTCAGGGATATCCAAATCTCCAACTAAAGAAACATATAGACAGAGTCTATAAGACCAGAAGAAAGAAGGAAAAAGAGAAAATTAATTATCTCCATTGACATTCTCTCTCTCTCTCTCTCCCCTCCTCTGTGTATCTCTTATAAAGACTGAATCGAGCTAAAGAGAAAAGAGGAGGAGAAAGAGAATGGCACCAAAAAGATCAGACGAAAGCAGCCATTAACTTCTTCTGTGCCTGGTGCTTCAGGGTGGAGCCTTCCTCTGAAGGCCAATGGAGTTGTGCTGCCTAGAAGGACCGGACGGTGGGATCGGCACCCCCCTCGGAAGAAAACCCATGAAGTAACCAGGGTTCCTCATCCCACCATACCTCTCCTTGTACACTTCTATGTCCCGAGAACCATGGCAACATGAGACCAGCAGCAGAAGAATAAGAAGAAGCCGCGCTGCTACAACCGAGTCTCTCTTTAGCTCACTCATCTGGCCTCACAAAGAGAGAAGAGGAGAGCAGAAGATGGAGAGTAGGAGAGATGTGAACGTAAGTATATATGCACAAAGGTACACATTAAATTCTAGCAATCCTGTTGATATTTATTGTGTGGACGTGCGACGAAGAGGAGGTGGAATTAAATGGAGGACGAGCATGGTTAGATAGCAATGGTGGGTTGAGGGGATTCTAATTAGGAGTGAAGAAGAAGGGACAAGGATTAATGGAGGGGCATAAGGAGAGGTGAGGAATGGACTTGATAAAGAATGGAAGAGGAAGTGAGACAAAAGGAGAGATGGCGAGGGTTACTCAAACGAAAAAGTAGGGTGCTGTCGACCGGTTGGGTGAGGGAAGGGGGCCACATGAATTTAATGGCCGACGAAGGAACGGGGACTGTGCTCGTAGCCTCAAGCAGCATCTGCCTGTGTCAGTTGATTCGGTGATACATGGGAAGGAAAAGGAAGGAGTTATGTACGTTAATGCATACAGACAGCGGCAAAGTAAAGAAGTTATCTCATGTTTTGTTTGCTAACAGTGTCGAATAGGAAAAGTGGGATCACTCGTCTCCCTCCTCAGTCTATTATAATGAACGTGCAAGTTTCCTGACATGGGATTGTTGACCTTCAGTATGCTGTCTCTCGACCAACCAAACAGAATCCATGGTTTCCTCGACAGAACGGAGGAGTTAGCAAGATAAAGGTTCACTATAACTCCTTCCTTGCATTGCACGCTCCTTATGAGGCGTTGATCGTATTCACAAACAAATATTATCACTAGTCTCGTATCGATAGTCAACTAAGATTTATATTTTCTTGTAAAGGTTTGACCGATGCCCTATTAATAATATGAGCATAAATCGGTAATTTAGACTCAACGAGTTAATATATCAATTATTCCGAACGGTGATAACAAATGAAGTCTTTCACCAAGATTTTATATTATTTGTAAAGTGGAAGAAGTTGTCAATATTCTAGTCAGTCAAATGTAATTTGGACCCATATGTATAGGATTGTCCGGGGTACATTTTAAGTGAAAACATCAAGTTTCTGATGTGCCACTTATACAAAGATCAAGGTTGAGAGAGGTTTCTCAATCCGATCTCTTCAATACCTAAGTTAGTAACCCGAGGATGGTGAGTGCAGATGCAAGTGGTCAAAAATTGATCTTTTTTTTTTCATTGTATTAAAAATGAGCTTTTATACCTGATCATAAATGGATGAAATATTCTATAGGGAGACAGCCTCTAATCGCCTCAAACAATCTTCCCTTAGCCTGTTATCCACATGGGCGACAAGAGGGGGATAGCCTATAATCATTTGTCTTGGATCCTTGTCCATACGAGTAGACAGGCGGAGGGTAACCTTTGTCTTCTCCTTCCACCTTAGACACCACATGGAGGTCACGTGTCGGGTAACTACTAATTGATAAAGCTCTTTTAATCATTTATCCCCTTTAAGGCGTGCTTCAATGACTCTCGTAAGAGGGATCAACGTGCAGTGTCTAATTCATCTGATATATTAACCTTACACCTTATTGATTATTCTTTGACTCCATGCATTAGGCGGACGCTAATGGGATCGGGGGGCGCCCAACCCGCACCTTGAATCAGTGACCTTCGTCCCTCAGCAAGGGGTTGCTCCTCGTTGATGGGCCCTCCTCAGTAGTAGATCAATCTTTGCCGACATGAACCAAACCCTCCTCCAAGCATGGAGATTGGTAATTGTGGGGCTTAGTTCTCTGATCTCTGTAGCTCGAGGGCGACGAAAAGGGAGGGTTGGATGCCTGACCTCTATGCCTTAAGCAGAGGACAAGGTCGAATTTACTGACCTCCATACATCAGGCAGAGGTGAAGGAGGGATGGGAGCACTATTGACAGTGGTCCATCATCGACCTGCCCCTCCCATCATTAAGGGACCCACCTCAATCGGAGGGGGATTGTTTCTTCTTGACCTAGTTGGGTTTCTTGATCACCATGCCTCGGCTCAACCTCCTTAACTCATGAGGATCGTAAACGAGGGATGTGAGCACTATTGATGACAGGCCATCGCCAACCTACCCCTCTTCTTCTACTTGCCATCGAGGTGGGCTACGAGAGGAGCCAAAGCGGGCTGTAAGCAATGTAGAAGTGAGCTCCTCCTCTACCTGTCCCGAAGGGACCCATGTGGGGCAACGGATCCATAGTAGCGATATTGTGAAGCCCCTCATTGCCATTCGGCCCTCTTTACTCGTCATCGAGAAAGGCTGTGAGAGGAGTTAAGACAACCTATAGGCGATGTAGAGGTGGGCTCCTCCTCTGCTCATACCCCAAGGGACACATGTCGATCAATAGGTCCACAATGGGGATGCTACAAAGCCTCCCGTCACTGACATTCCCCTCTTCTTTTATTCGCTATCGGGGCAAGCTATGAGAGGAGCCGAGGCAACCTATAGGTGGTGTCCAAGTGAGCTCCTCCTCTACACATCGTCGAGAGAACTGTTGGAAAATCTTGGGGGCGACATCACATGCGCAGCGGAAGAACAAGAAAACAAAATCCCTGATTCCCAAAGAGATGTTCGTCGTCGTGCGAAGATTGGTGCGCAAAATTCGCGAAACTGAAAAACTGCGTATAGAGTAGATTGTGTTACCTAGGAAGATCGTATATCCCTGTTTCCTTGCAGATATTTAGGAGAGGGTGAAGGAGGTCAAGCGTCCTCCTCTCTAGCGGTGATCCACACAGTAGGGCTACGACGACGCTCCTCAAAACTCCAGGCCTGCTTTGAGGTGGAGAGGGGAAGGAGAATAGGAGAGGCAAGCAAAGGCTCTAGCCTATGAGGCTCTGAATCTCTCCTATTTATAGAGGTCCCCTATCAAACC